ACAAGGGAAAGCGGGATGCGGGGAGCAAGGAATGCGGGGAGCATGAGAATGCGGGGAGCATGGGAATGCGGGGAGCATGGCAAGCGGGGTGCAGGGAGCAAGGGAATGCGGGGAGGATGGGAAAGCGTGGTGCGGGGAGCAAGGGAATGCGGGGAACATGGGAATGGGGGATGTGGGGAGCAAAGAAATGCGGGGAGCATGGGAATGCGGGGAGCAAGGGGATGCGGAGAGCAAGGGGATGCGGAGAGCATGGGAAAGCGGGGAGCAAGGAAATGCGGAGAGCATGGGAAAGCGGGATGCGGGGAGCAAGGGAATGCGGGGAACATGGGAATGCGGGGAGGATGGGAAAGCAGGGTGCGGGGAGCAAGGAATGCGGGGAACATGGGAATGCGGGGAGCATGGGAAAGCAGGGTGCGGAGAGCAAGGGAATGCGGGGAACACGGGAATGCGGGGAGCATGGGAATGCGGGATGCGAGGAGCAAGGAAATGCGGGGAGCATGGGAATGCGGGATGTGGGGAGCAAGGAAATGCGGGGAGCAAGGGAATGCAGAGAGCATGGGAAAGCGGGATGCGGGGAGCAAGCAAGGGAATGCGGGGAACATGGGAATGCGGGGAGGATGGGAAAGCGGGGTGCAGGGAGCAAGGGAATGCGGGGAACACAGGAATGCGGGGAGCATGGGAATGCGGGATGCGGGGAGCAAGGAAATGCGGGGAGCATGGGAATGCGGAGAGCATGGGAAAGCGGGATGCGGGGAGCAAGGGAATGCGGGGAACATGGGAATTCGGGGAGGATGGGAAAGCGGGGTGCGGGGAGCAAGGGAATGCGAGGAACACGGGAATGCGGGGAGCATGGGAATGCGGGATGTGGGGAGCAAGGAAGTGCGGGGAGCAAGGGAATGCAAAGAGCATGGGAAAGCGGGATGCGGGGAGCAAGCAAGGGAATGCGGGGAACATGGGAATGCGGGGAGGATGGGAAAGCGGGATGCGGGGAGCAAGGGAATGCAGGGAACATGGGAATGCGGGGAGCATGGGAAAGCGGGATGCGGGGAGCAAGGGAATGCGGGGAGCATGGGAAAGCGAGATGCGGGGAGCAAGGGAATGCGGGGAACATGGGAATGCGGGGAACATGGGAATGCCGGGAAAATGGGAATGAGGGAAGCATGGGAATGCGAGGAGCATGGGAAAGCGGGATTCGGGGAGCAAGCGATAGCGGGACGCGGGTGAAAGCGGGTGGAAGGAAGCGAGGGACAGCGAGATGCTGCAGCACGTGAAGGTGAGATGCGGACGTGCTTTCGAAAGCGGGAAGCGGGGATTTGGGAAGCAAGGAAGCGCGAGGACAGGGATAGCACGATGTGGGAAGCCGCGGGTGGCATTTTTGTACGAGGAGATCGAAGGCGGCGGGAAGCTATAGCGGCCCGCAACGGTGGGCCGTTAGCAGCGGGGGATTCGTCATTTGTTTCCTGCCCTTGTTTTCAGGCGCTGGTGATTTCGTCCAGGCTAGGCTACGCGCGCCAAGAACCTCAATTGATATCCGCGTTCACTAGCCTGACGTCGGTGTCGCCTCGATCCCATCTTATAAGTCGCTACCAACTCTCTAGCATGGCTACGCATGAGCATGGATCTAGGAGGAAACGAGGGCAAGTCGAGCAAATTACAGATCCCGAATTCGAGATATGCTACCATCTTTCCCTTAGTCGTTTTTGCTGTCGAGGGAGCAGGCTGTGGGTTGGGTTTGCGATTGTTGTTGTTTGGCTTCGACCAATCGCATGGCCCCTTTTGATGCCCGAGGGGGTTGTTAAATTTCCTCACGGTGCATAGGGTTAAGACGTGGTATCTGGGTTTCGCAACCCATTGGAGCTGCGTAACCCAGCCTGGTTACAGGTCTCGCCGAACCTCGAATAGCATGTGAGATATGGGTTGAGTTGGTTGGGGTTGGATTCAGTTAGTTTTTTTTGGCAAATTGCACATATTTTATATATTATTATATTTCATTTACTTATACAATTTTAAAACTTTGTACAAGTTTAAGTGTACAAAAACCAATCATTTATGCAAATATAAGCCACGGGAACATGTTTATTATTCAGGTGTAACATTCACAAAACAACTCATTCGCATAACATCCCATCCGCAGAAGACTCGCGAATCATTTACGTGCAAAGAAACGAGAAAAAAACATTTGGCGAACACTTGGCGGACGATTTCCGACTTTATGCCCGAGCTCGAATGGTGAAAACAATCTGCGAACGTTGCACTTTTTGCGATGACCACTACACATGTCAAAAAAATATCCACCCACGCATCGACGCACCACTCCCCACACTACGTTTAGAGTGTTTTAGCCTCGCGGAAAGGCGATTTCGGTGTAGTAGTGGCGTCATTAGAGGGACGATCTTGGGTTGGCGAGTAGAACACAGTTCCTGCCGTAATTTATGAGCCGAGCTACTCTAAGACCCGGCAGGAGCCTCCGAGATCTGGCGTGACAAAAAGCCTAGGCCCGCCGTGACCAGTTGTTGCCTAAATTGAAATGGCAGTATGCACCAAACACTCCTGCGCAGAGCCCATCTTCGCCCTGTTAAGCGCGCTGACGAGCCCACTCTGAAATAGCGCGAGCCCGAGCGGTGGCGCACACGTGGAGTGAACAACAGGCGCACGTCCACCCATCCCGTAGGTAAAGTGTGCGGGGAGCAGAGGGCGTGGAGAGGTGGATGATAGGGTTAGGAGAGTGGGAACAGAGTGCGAGAAGAGGGAGAACGGACAGCGAGGAGAGAGGGAACGGTCAACGAGGAGAGGGCGAACGGTCAGCGAGGAGAGGGCGAATGGTCAGCGAGGAGAGGGGGAACGGTCAGCGAGGAGAGGGTGAATGGTCAGCGAGGAGAGGGGGAACGGTCAGCGAGGAGAGGGGGAACGGTCAGCGAGGAGAGGGGGAATGGTCAGCGAGGAGAGGGAGAATGGACAGCGAGGAGAGGGAGAATGAACAGCAAGGAGATGGAGAACAGACAGTGAGGAGAGGGAGAACGGACAACGAGGAGATGTCCTTTTAACCAATTTCCAAGTAAAAGGCACCCTAAGGGGTTCATCCTTACCGGTTTAGAAATACCGGCGCTACTTCGATGGCTGTTGTAGTAGATGGATTCACATCACCTCCACCATTTGGGCCATATGAACCAGTTCTCAACAATTACGTCATAAAACGGAAAGTAATGGAGTTTGCTTGTTACTTCGTGGGCTCAGTGCAGCCCAGTGGTCTTTGGCACAGACAAAGTCCTTGAGATGAAGTGCTTGGTGTAGCACAGCGGAATCCTTGTACTGGTTTGTGAGAACAAGTGAATGATTATAGCAAAGAGCATACAGGAATATATAGAAGGTGCTGTAGCAGTTAATACCGAGGAACACATCGCCTCGTTATTCTAGACAAGCGGTTACTATCCGCTATCGTTCGACTTAACTTCAGCCGATGTGTCAGTTGACTCTCTCAACTGACGACGAGTACTGTAGCACAGTTGACTTATCTCTCCTCAATGTTACCTGACTCGTGTGTTGCATAATACACGATACTAATGAAATGCTTCAGTCTTCTCTTCATAATTTCCAACACTCCCCTTCATTTCTGAAGAGTCGACGGGTTCGAGGTTGGTGAAATGTTGCAGTCCAGTCAGCAGCATGCAGTACTCCAAATTCGCCTCTTTCAGCTTCTTGGTGAAGTAGTCATCCACCATTTCAGCAGTAGGGCACTAGTCCAGCTGGAGTTTTCCCTGCTCGATCTTATCTTTCACGAAGAAGTAGCGGAGCGAGATGTGCTTCGTGCAGTTCGCGAAACCAATGTTGTTTGCGATTTTGATCGCAGATTGACTGTCACAAAAGAGAGAGAAGCTGGGTAACTTCGCAATTTTTGCTACTTCCAGCAGCACAAGCTCGAGTCCATCTTCTGTGGCTGTGCAGAGGGACATATTCAGCTTCAGCCGATGCGAGTGCAATTTTTTCTTGCTTTCTTGAGTGCTAGGAGGTCGTGCTTATAGGTTCCAAATGGTAGACATAGCCGGTACGTGAGCGCCTGTTGGCCTCATCGCCAGCATGATCGACGTCGACATAGTCGATGAGCTCGTTCTTGGTAGAGCCTGCCTTGTGGTAGGTGAGGCCGATTGTGGGAGTAGAGACGAATTAGAGGAGTGCTCGATGGAGTTCTTACACATTCTCCCCTTCTGGTTGATTAAGGTATGTAGTGAGCTGGCTAGCCAAGTACGAGAGGCCCGGGTTGCAGTTTACGTCTGCTAATAGTAGGCAACCCAGTTTCTGCAGTTACGCGCGAATGCCGTTAGGCGAGAGCAGAGTAGTGTCGGCAGCGTGGTTCAGCTGGAAATTGTGATATGGAGTCGAGATAGTTGTCGGTGAAATGTTGAAGCATTTTGCAAGGTTCTCAACATATTTGGATACGGAGAGATGAATTTCGTCGGAGTTGTCAGTGATGTTGAGGCTGAGGCATTGGGTGACCGTGGGCGAGACGGTTAGGGTGAGGTCGGACTGGATCTCCCCTTGAAACCATATTGTGATGATGGTAGTGGAGCCGGTGTACAGTAGGTCATCGATATAGAAGATCAGCAGTACGTACGCGTCAGCGCGGGTGAGACAGTACATGCCCTGGTCGTGGGGCAATTGTGCGAATCCAATGCAGATGAGGTGAGTGTGGAGGTACTTTCTCCATAGTCAAGGGGCTTGCATGATTTCATACTGTGACTTGATGAGCTGACAAACAAGGGTGAGGTTGTCAATGAAGGCTTGTGGCTTCTCCACATAGATTTTAGCACCAACTGGGCGCAGAGAAAGGCGGTAGCGATGTCAGTTTGGCGCAGTGGGAGATTTCGAGCAGTGGCGACAGCGATCAAAATTCGAAGTGATGTGTGGCGGCTCACTTGAGCGAAGGCCACGTTGCAAAAGTTGGAGATGGGAAAGATAGGTTCCAAGAGGAGCCCTAGAAAGTGAGAGAAAAAATGTAATAGAGATGACAAAGACATTGGGCTAAGTAGGCCTAGGTTGTGAAGAGAGAGATGGAGAAGTGCTGGGCAACTTGGGCTGGTCCAGGTGAGGAGAATGGCACCCAAGAGACTTAGGGTGCCCAAATGTTTGCTCAAGTCGCCCACAGTCAAGGTGGGGACGTGAGGAACCCTCAAAGTGGGCCTGGAAGCGCCTCCACTAGTGGAACCGCGATTCCACAAGTTGGATTCGTGGTTCCACAAGCTGGAGCCGCGTTTTCATGGTTGAGAAACGTGGGTCCAGGTTGGAGCCGCGTCCCAAATGTTGGGATGCGTGGTGAGGTACCCCAATTCAGAAATATGGGGTGCCTAGCCTTTGATAAAATCACTTGGGGCACCCTATTCCTAATATAACCCACCCCCTAATGTCTACACCTTATAATGTAACACATTACACATAACAGAGACATGTATTAAGTTGACTACATCCGAGATAAAAACCTAAAACAGATACTCAACAACACCCCCCCTTAGGGTGACACCAAGGGAGAGTCTCGGGAAGAAGAGGCAGGGTGCAGGCCAATGCAGGATCGAAGATGCTGAAAAGTGTCACGGGAAAGAGGCTTGGTACCGAGATCAGCAAGGTTGGCATGAGTAGGGACATAGTGCAGTGAGATATGGCCCTTGTCAACGTGATCACTGAGGAAATGATGTTGGATGTCAATGTGCTTGGCACGGGCATGGAAGACACCAGCGTCCTTGGCCAAGACAATGGCGCTTGTGTTGTCACAGATCAAAGGGGTGGGACCAGCGGGGGGAAGTCCAAGGGAGGTGAGGAGAGTGTGGAGCCAAAGAGCTTCATGGGCTGCCGCACCAAGCACATAGTATTCAGCCTCACAGGAGGACGTGGCCACCACACATTGCCTCTTGAATTGCCAGGAGATGAGGGAAGGACCAAGCAGTAAACCATGGGAAGATGTTCCCTTGAGGTAGCGGAGAACACGTTTGGCAGCCAGCCAATGAGGGTCGGACCATGAGTGGAGGTGACGGGAGAGAAGGCCAGTAGAGTGGGCTATATCAGGACGAGTAGCGACCATGGCGTACATGAGAGAGCCAGCCAAGGAGGGATATGGGAAGGTTTGAGATGGCTGTGAAGAGGGGTGGGAAGGGAGGAGGAGCTTAGAGTCCATGGGGGTATGGCTGGGGTTGGAATGGGAGAGCGATCAGGAGCAGTGAGCTCGAAGCCGGGGGTTTGAGTCATGTAGATGAGCTCGTCAAGGTCGCCATTGAGAAAGGCATTGGAGATGTCGAGCTGATGCATCTCAAGATCAAGAGCAGCAGCAAGGGTGAGTAGCATGCGGAGCGTGGCAAAGCGAATGGTAGGTGCAAAAGTCTCTGTATAGGTGATGCCTTGACGTTGCTGAAGCCTTTGAACACCAAGCGAGCCTTATAACGCTCAATGGACCCATCTGGGTTTTCTTTGACCTTGAATACCCACTTGCAAGGTATGGGGGTGCGACCGGGTGGTGTGGACACAATGCTGTAAGTGTTGTTGGCGAGGAGAGCAGCGATTTCGGCATCGGCAGCGGCTAGCCAGTGGGGAGCAGCAGGGCAATAACGGGCGGCTATGATGGTAGCGGGCTCGTAGTGGGAATGAAGGGTTATGTGTGCAAAATCGTGAAGGAAATGGGTGGACTCGCGATCTTCAGCAAGGATGGATCAAGAGGAAGGATCGGGAAAGGTGAGGTGAAAGTCTTGGGCGACTGGTGATGGAAGATAAGGAAAGGGAAGGGGTGATGAAATTCTGTTTGGATGTTCCATATTGTGCGACATAAGCACCATCAGCCGGGATTGAAGATTGCTTGGCAGCACGGTCCCATTCAGCATCCACAAGGTGTCCCTCAAGCCACTCAAGTGTCATGTCTTTGATTTCTCTGACAGAGCAAAGAGTCTCAGTGAGGGTGTCATAGGACCGGGGAAGACCGAGAAGGATAGAGGTGATAGTCACCCAAGAGGGAAGGCTATATCTGCTGGTTTGCAGTTGCAGATCGAGGCCACGAACGTGGTCAAAGTAGGCACGGATGGACTGACCGGGATCCATGCGGACACAGAAGAGTTGACGCAGCAGACCAAAGTGAGCTTGATTACCAGTTTTGGCAAACTTCTTGTTAAGAAGAGCCCACAACCCGGCAGCAGTCTCGGTTGGAGAAACAGACATGGAGAGCTGGGTTGGAAGTGTGGAGAGAAGATACAGCAATGCCCGCTGTTCTTGCTCAGCTGCTGCAATGGTCGGGGTAGCAGAGGGCCGACGAGCCTCGTAAGATGGAGTGGCCGGCGCGTCATCCGTTGAAGAAGCACTGGGACCGGTGGACGAAGAGGTGATTGTGGAGTCACCAAGGGCACCAACTATGCTGACGAGTTGAAATGTTAGAACCACCATCCGCTTCCAGTGGTTGAAGTTGGAGCCATCGGGGAGCAGGGAGGGTAAAGTGAGCCGTCCCAAATGGCTGTCCACAGTGGCCATAGCCCCAAAATATGACGTCCACAAAAAAGTTACGCGATGGCCTGAGCTGGAAGTCGAAGAAAAGGGTGCCAAGGGTGGGAGGAACGTCATAGAAACATTTACGGTTGAAAAATCTACTCAGATGCAGATGGGCTGACCAATGGAGGCTCAGCTATAGCTCTGATTACCATGTAGAAAAAGTAGACCCAATGTGCATAGCTGTAAGATGCACAAGTTGGAGATGGGAAAGATAGGTTCCAAGAGGAGCCCTAGAAAGTGAGAGAGAAAAAATTAATAGAGATGACAAAGACATTGGGCTAAGTAGGCCTAGGTTGTGAAGAGAGAGATGGAGAAGTGCTGGGCAACTTGGGCTGGTACAGGTGAGGAGAATGGCACCCAAGAGACTTAGGGTGCCCAAATGTTTGCTCAAGTCGCCCACAGTCAAGGTGGGGACGTGAGGAACCCTCAAAGTGGGCCTGGAAGCGCCCCCACTAGTGGAACCGCGATTCCACAAGTTGTATTCGTGGTTCCACAAGCTGGAGCCGCGTTTTCATGGTTGAGAAACGTGGGTCCAGGTTGGAGCCGCGTCCCAAATGTTGGGATGCGTGGTGAGGTACCCCAATTCAGAAATATGGGGTGCCTAGCCTTTGATAAAATCACTTGGGGCACCCTATTCCTAATATAACCCACCCCCTAATGTCTACACCTTATAATGTAACACATTACACATAACAGAGACATGTATTAAGTTGACTACATCCGAGATAAAAGCCTAAAACAGATACTCAACAACACAATCGATGTTTCCATCGGCTTTCATCTCTAAGCAAAAAGACCCATTTCCCCAAGAGAATGGTCTTGCCTTTTGCTGCATTCGCGATGGGAACCAGCTTTCAGGTGTTCCTCTTGTGCAGCGCGTTTGGTTACTTGTCCATTGCTTCCTTCCATTGCTTCCTTCCATTGGACAACAGCTTGGGTTGTCGGCTTCAGCTGCTCTGCTTCTATCGGTGGTGGCTCCTTGACCGTTGGAGAAGGTGGAGCAGTTGAAGGACCAGCTTGTGGTTCTGGGACAGCCCTCTGCACTTCTTCTGACCTGATTTCTGCTTCACGCATGATTGCTAACGCTTGTGTGCTTTCTACTTTCAAGTATCGTGTGGGAGCACCAGAAGCCTCAGGGATCGAAGTTTGGGTCAAGATCGGGAGGGTGCGTCTAGGTCGTGAATGACACGACGCCGTCACTGTCGGCGGTTCCACGATCAAGTATGAAGTCGAGAGTGAATACTCTAGATTTGAGTATCGCTTTCCCAAAGTACAGGCCTCCCTTGCCGTGATATAAATGAAACTCCCTTTTGTTGCTGCCACATTCCATGTGGAAGCCCTTCAATATCTACTGGCTGATACTGAGAAGTTTATAGCCAAGATCGTCAACCACCAGTACGAGAGATTTTTGTAGAACCACATTGGTCTCCAATGACTGTGACTGGACGACACTTTGTCTTGTGGTGCGCAGGTTCTGGTTATTGGCAACGGTGATGACGACTTCGTGGCTCAAACTGCGCTTTTGCTGAACAAAGCATGTGGAAGAGTACATGTGCTGGCTGCAACAGTTGTCCAAGCACCAAGTGTCACGCCCCCAGGGTTCTTCGCGAGCGATGTCAGCGTATGTGGGCTTTCGCTGAAGTTGGGTTGAGCTCGGCTGCGGCGGGAATTCGTGAGCGTCTTAGGTAGGTGGCAATCTCGTGATGCAGGAATCCATGCACGCCATGCAACTGGCAATGTTGCGGGTACTTTGTGCAGGTTGTGGCGAAGGCATGGGCGGACGTTGCTGGGTTGATGCAACGTAATTGTTTGACGGGCAAAACGGTTGGTGCGGCTTCTCTGCTGCTGATGCTTTCATGGACAGTATACTCGGTAGTGTCCTGGTGTACGGCAGAGATGGCCTTTATTTAGGGACGACGCGCTTGCGACGATGTCCTTGAGGGCGCCCGTGTGTGTAAAAGGCAATCTGCTGACTTGGTTTTGTCGTGTTTCTCTCCTCAAACAGATCCATGTCTTGCTGCTCAGCATGAAGTTCGACGCAGCGGTGCATCTTCGAGATCTTCCCATAGGCTCAAAGAAGCGAGCGAGTTGCGCGCCAATGGGGACCAAGGCCGACAAGGGTGCTCGTGACGAAAGTGTTCTCTGATAAGTTTCCTCCACCGTGCATGAGCCGGTCGCGTAGTCTGCATATGTTCATGTAGGCGACTGCCTTTTTGCCAGCTTGCATCTGGACTGCTGTTATCTGCACTATAAGTCGACTCTGTGTCACGCTGTCTGACGCCTCGTACATGCTCATGACGTGGCAATACTCCAGCTTGGCTGAGATTCCATAACCTTTGTATATATAGATACTTAGTTGCTCGGTTGGTGACAGGTTTTGGAGAAGAATAGTGTACGCCATCAGGGACCGATATGTAAACTGCTCCTTCTCCCTTGTAGTTTCGTTTTCCAGGTATTTGCAGGTGCTCCTAAAGAGGCCCAAGACCTATGCGCCTTCCATCATGAGCTCGAACTTGAAGCTCTAGGTATAGAACTCGAAGCTCCAGGTATATAACTCGTTGCCATTGAATGGGAATGACGTCTGCAGCTTCAGTACATATGCAAATTGTGCTGCATCTGCAGAATCTCACTAGGTCCGTTTTCTGTTGTTGGTGTTGTTGCAGGCTGTCAAGCTGGCAGGAAGTTGAAGAATGTTGGTGAAGACTGGGCAGGTGAGCATTGAGTGGGTTGCTGGTTGCAAATGAAGAGTTGTCGAGACTCATAAGCATCATGCCATTATTGACGCCACTGTTTGCATTGTGCAGGTGCTGAAAGTGCTCGGACATGAAGGAGACGAACTTATACATGTAACCTGGATCGAAGCCCAAAGAGGGAGCCACTTTATTCGTGGTGCCCCTGCCGTTGCATCTTGAGTCATGGTTGACTCAGTCTGTAACTCAAACTCAGGATGTGCAGTCGGTGTGATATCTGGGGACCTAGCGAACGACCCTACACCCTTATATGGAGCCATGACTTGTGTTGTCTTGTAAAAACAAGTACTTCAGTTTGAGTGTCTGATCACAATAGCATTAGAAACTCAACCAAAGGAGTTTGTAATGGGGGCCTAGACTCCGACTAGCTCCCATACCATCATGGGCTGAGTGCAGCCCAGGGATCTTTGGAAGAGACTAAGTCCTTGAGATACAGTGCGTGGTGTGGCGTAGCAGAAGTCTTAGTAGATGATGTTGTAGAGAGTGTTGGCCGTGTCTTCAGGCATTTCAAGCTATAGTGTTTGGAGAGTGGTTTGGCTCCCCTCTATGTAGCATCTACTTGCTTTGAAAGAGATGGCGATCACAAGGTTCCCCTTATCGTGTATCGGGTAATTTATCTCTGCCACATGAAGTTTCATGTTGAGGTGGGCAATAGGCTTCAATCCATTCTCTAGGACTTGCATTAAGACTGCTCTCACTGCTTGGTCATTGGCATCAGCTTCGATGACGTAGTCGCATTCAAAATTGTCCAGGATGCAGATTGGTGCTGACATGAGTGCATGCTTTAGCTGTTGCATGGCTTCTTGAGGTTTGCCTCCCATTAGCATTTTTTATTCGACACATTTTTCAGCGGTGTAGTGATTTTTGCATACTGTGGCACGAACCAGTCGTAGTAGTTCACAAACCTTAGGAGCTCCACATTCTTGGGTGGTTTCTTCATACTTATGACTCCGATATTCTTCAGCGTTACGTGCATCCCTAAGCGGTTACAATGTGGCCAAGGATTTCGACCCTCTTGGAAGCAAATTCCTTCTTGAAAGGTTTGCTGTACAAAAATTCCTATCACAGAATCCCAAAGGCACATCATCACAGATGTTTGAAGTGATGGTAAACGAGAAAGTTGTCGAGATATACCACCATGCGTTCATCCAGTTATGGTTGCAGTTGTGGTTCATCTTGGCTTGGAAAGTTGCCGGTGCTTTAGTGAGTCTGAATGGTATTAATGGGTGCTTGTACGAACTGTAGTGAGTTCGGAATATAGTTTTGTGAATGGATTTGTCCGCAGTCTTATTTGCCAATATTTGGGCCACAAGTCAAGCATGTCATCGATTGGAGGAGTATGGCATTTATTATTAATGGTCTAATTGTTGAGAACTCGGTAGTCAATGGACATGCGCAGGCTCCCAAACATATTTTCCAGCTAGATCTAAGGAAGCCAGACAATTCTCAATGTCTTGGTAGAGTTTTCCCATTCAGCTGGCAATTTTTTCTCAAAGTTCTCCCTTTTTTTGGATGAATTTCTCTAGAAAAATCCAGCCATGAGGCAAAAATAATTTCTTATAATCTCCTCCTGGTCACGTTGAACCAGGCGCGTCTGATAGATTTTTTTCTTGGATCTTGTGGCCGCTTCCGGGTCTTTTGATTTTCACCAGCTTTATCCACAACCACTGGCAACTCACATTTTATTTCATTCAAACACTGATTTACACCATTGTTGCATACCCAATACACAGCACGCGGAGCCTTCGTTTTGTTACAGTCAAAAGTTCTTGATGCCCAGGTGGGCTGCAAAATCGCAGGTGAAATACTTTTTTTTGCCGACGGCGCTTCCGCGTTAAACACGTTGATATCAATTGAGGCAACGAACGTGGGGGATACCGAGCGATCTCCACCGCCGATGTGGGGTCGTCATGATCCGCCATAAACCATGGCAAAACTCCTTTGACCACGAGTGCTTGTACTTCTCCTTAAGCGGTTGACCAATCCGATCTTTGGTTTGAACCCTTTAAGAAATTCCCTCAAAGGAACAAGTCAGATCCATGATGTTGCTGATGGGGAGGGCCTGTCTCAAGTGAAATGGTATAATCTATAGATGCAGTTGTGCTTTGCCTTAGATCCAAAGTTTACTGCCATCCACCATCGACACTGCAAATCTTGAAGGCTTGAACTTCTCCCTAAGCCATTCGAGGGTTGCCTTGTTGTAGATGGTGCATGATGCTCTTCTGTCCACGAGTGCTTGAAGTTGCCTTTTTTTGTAGATGACCTCGAGCATGAGTGGAGGGTGTTGCTCGGATTTTCTGGAAATAGTTTCATTAATAGCATCACAGGATTTAGGATGCATCTCTCATTTTATACATGCCATTTTATCACTTTTGGTTGAGCTAGCAGTGGGCCGCGACAAATGAAAGAGGTTGCCTCTTCTCCAAGGCCAGAAGATTCACTGATGACCAGAAGTGTCATTCATGCTGATGATGCTGGTGACGATGCATTCGTAGGAGGAGTTTGGAAATGGTGCAACTTATTGTCAAGCCCCAAAACCTTCTTATCCAGCTCCATTGCCTGTCTGGATCGGGTAGTCGTTGTGGGCTGCTGTTTGGAAGGGATGTTGACTCCATGGGAGTGTTAGCTCTTTCTCACACTCCTAAGCCTGTTTCCCAATTTTCCCTGTGCCCATACGATCTTCTTTGCAATTTGCTTTTGCTGGAGTCTCTTCCAAGTAGTTTACAATGCTCTTGATCCACAAAAATCATTACGTGTAACTAAAACATATTTACAAGATAAATCTAATGAAGCCTCACCATTTTCAATGCCTTGATAGAGTTTTTCCATTCAACAGGCTCCTTTTTGTAGAGTTCTCCTTTTTTTGGGGTGAAGTTCCCTGGAAAAATCTAGCCACAAGGCCAAAATATCTTCTTATAATCTCCTCCTGATCACATTGTGTTAGTGCAAAACTCTACTTTGCA